TCCCAGACCCGAGTTTTCGCACATCTGACTTATTACTGTGACACAAATCCAAGAGCTCTCCCCTATGAAGGTGCTTTGGGTGACATTCATGTTGTGACTGCCAAATAAAGTCCAGAGGTTTCAGAATCATTTGTCAACACCAAAGACAACCTTACCAAGAACTAGTCCTTTTATCTCGGAAGTCACTCCTCTGATCCATGGGTTTATTACCTAGAACAACAATTAATCTTGCTGTCTTCACATTATAAACTAGGCCTAGTCAAGATATGGTGTGCCCATGATCCACATCCCTCAGTGGGGCATCCCTGCTGGGAGGTAGAACTGGTTTGCTGATTCCACATCAAGGGACCTGGTCCCCGTCCAGGCTATGGAGCTGTCTTATCCTCAGTTCCACGGTCAGCAGGGTCCTTCCCTCTCTGGGCTCGGGCTGCCTCACTACAAAATAATGAGATTTCACCAGATGATCTGTAACATCCTTCCCCCTACAAAAATTCCACGATTATAAGAATCTCTAGTTCCTCAACAGGTAATAAGAAAAAGGAGCTTTGGTGTTAAAATGTTACATTTTCTATTCCATACGTTTCAATGAGAATATGAATATCTGATTGGGTGAGTTTCGTGTATATGTGCACATACATGTATATACATGTGTGTGTATATATACATATTTGTATGAATGCACATACATACTGACTGATACCATTAGGTATTTATATGGGACTAATTGCTTCCAACTCAAAGCAGCAAATTTTCAATTCTGCAACAGATGTCGCTATGTGATTTCTCCTTTCTATGCTGGATTTTCAGTTAAAAATGCCCAGCGTAATGGTCAGTACTATTCTTTCCAAGAAAGAGATACAGCATTTGAATCCTTAGGATTTATTTCTTATAAATTTTCTTCATATGCTGGTAAATTTCCATTCAAATCATAGCATAGATTAGTTTGGCCCAATTTAAGAGATCTCCCACATAAAAATAGGCCTTTTGTTAAGCACACAAGCACGCGCGTGTGCGCGCACGCGCACACACACACACACCCATTTTTTAAATGTAAATTCTAAGTGGCCGATTAGGCATTAAAATGTCACATACAAAAACCCAGAGAATGAGACAGTTTCTATTCACAGCAATACTATCAATTTTTTAAAGCCTGAAAATCATTCAGCAATGCAGGCCAAGGAATTATAAAAATTCACTTATGTATGAGGCCAAAATGTACCAGGTGTGGGCAAAAGTCATGAAAAACTCCAAGAGCACCATTAATGATAATGAAAATTCTGGATTTCAGTTGTTACAGCATTTCTTTAAAAATAAATAGTAAGACTAGTATTATCGTTTGCAAGATAGCTTACCGATCTGACATTCTCTATCAACCACTTCTTGACACATGTCAAAAAAAAAGTAACAGCTCTTTCCCTTCAACCAGGATGTCCTCCAATGACCATCAGTCTCAACAGGTAGCTAGCACAGTCTTCTGCTGAAATTCAGAGCTAGGGGAAAGCATTTCAAAATCTCTCTTTTAGACCCAGGAACCTGTTACCTTCTGGGCTTTTAGAGGGAGTGGAGCGAGATGAGCAGTCAGGGAGTCCAGGACCGACTCGGTAAGAATATGAAGTCAGGAAGTGGGAGAGGAAGCGAAAGTGTCCTGCTTGTTGGCTTCTTCCCTGTCCCACTCTCCTTTACCAGGAGGGCCATTGGGGAAAACTGGATAAAGCATGTACAACATCCATATGAATAAAGCTCTTTGTTCCAGAGAACTGCCTGCTCTTTTATTCCCCCCTTTTTCCGTATTTGTTCATTTCAAAAGATTGCTCAATGGGCCTCTTGTTCCTCCAAAATGTCCCAGGCAAATAATGCAAGCTTGTCTCGTCACACAAGTCACTAAATGAAGCCTTGTGCGTCTCCAGTGACACACTGTAAATATAAAGTGGCATTAATGAGGGATATTTTATCAAAGCTATCACAGACAAGTGCAAGTCCCTCCTGCGGCTATTCAATTTGATGCAGGGAAAGGAAACAATAGCAGGCCAGCACTTTTTGCAAAGTCCCCATCCCCGGTATACAAGCCCCAACAGGCCAAGACAAGCCAAACTCAGCCCCTGGGCTTCCCGGCACCACCACAAACCCCCACCCATCAGCCAAACTCTCTAATGCTAAAAAAGAGGAGGGCAATCAACCACAGGTTCCCGGCGGGCAGGAGAAGCAACACCATGCATGCACCGAACACATAACAGGCGTGATTTACACTGAGGAGTGAGTTTCCACAACCCCATTTCAGCTGCGTTTCATTAACATCCATTTAATCCACAGCACAGGAGGGATGGGAGATCTTCTCCAGGGGATGGTAGGATTCAGCGACAGGGGAAGACGGAATCAGGACCTCCAGTATGATGGCCCCAGATCGCTATCCCAGCCAGCATGCTAATGAAGTTAGAAGGCAACACCAACAGGTTTCTCTAACCTGACAGTGGCACCTGGAGGCCTCTAGAGAAAGCTTAACAGGAGAGGACGAAGGAAGCAAAGTCCCCCAGTGCCTGCCTGGAAGTCTCCTCTGGGTGCCCAGGATCTGGGGGCTAGGCCAAGATCCCTTCCCAAAGCCATCACCAAAAAATGCCTAAGAGAAAAACAGATTTAAAGAAAGTCATTTCACCCCCTCACTACAAATCAAACCCAATTACTTTCTAATTTGAACACAATCTGATAACCAGCGTACAAACAGGGATGTACACAAGAGCAAGAAGCTGCTTCCATGGTAACTGGCAACAGAATTTTCTTGTAGCTTTGACATGCACGGTTGAGTTCCAGACCGCTCCTTTCGGAGTCCACATACATCCCTCGCTGGGAAGGCAACTTCTCACCGCCAGATAGTTACAAATAATAGTACTGTTGCTACTACCCGGTGCCGTCAGTGAGCAGGCTAGACAGAGGAGGTATCAGCTAATCCTACTCTGCTGCCCAGCGGCATTGCACAGCTCCCATTTTCAGTCAAAAGGCAATATCCCCGACCAGCGCTGTGCCCCCCCCTTTTTTTTTGCAGCCAATACAAGTCTATTGTTGCCTCTATTATGCGCCAGTTACCGAGCCTTTACTCACGCTCACGTTTAACCGACACTGGCGCTTTTTACAATGCAGCAGCATGAGGGATCTCTTTCAGGAACATTTTATTGAACCCATCCAGTCAGAGACATCACCTGAAATGAAGTTGTAACCACACCGGCATAGGCTGAACCCAATTATCTCGTAACTCATAAATTAAGAATTCACAGAGGAAAAACACATAAACAACATCCGGAGACAAGCAGTGGCATGGAAGAAAAAAATCCTCAGCTCTGGAACTGAGCTGCTGCCAGATTCCCACCCCTGTACATCCCTGATACATTCCCCAAGCCGAGCTCCCTTGCAAGCCTGCTTGCGGGTGGGGCGGGGGGGAGCAGAAACCGACCCGGCATCCCCCAAATCCAAAGCTAGCACCCCCGACATCCCCATTTCCTACAGCGTGTCTCCTGCGGTGTTTACGTAACTGTGTGTCCTCTAGCGTGTAAACAAAAGGCACAGCCCAAGCGGAGAGGAGCCCGGTAGAGGCACGGTGGCCCCAGTGCTGCGCCCGCCGCGGCCGGGGGCTCCGCAGGTGGGGGCTGAGCTCTCGGTGTCCTCCGCCACTTGTTGCTCGCGGGTCCTGCAGCTCCCAAGCTGCAAGGAGGGGCTCTGCAGGCTCCGAGCCCTGCTGCATCCCCTCCTGCACCTCCCGCCGCGCCCCCACCCCGCGGGCCCCGTGCCTCCGGGTCCCGCTCCCCGCCCGGAGCCGGCAGCAGGCGGCCCGGGGGTGCGGGGACGCCGCGGAGCGCGGCAGTGGCGGGAAGGGGAGGCAGGGTGCAGTACCGCCAGCCTCTCCGCTGGGGAAGAGCTCCGGCTCCCTTTTGTTAGCAAAAGCAAACACTGCCCTCTTCTTTCCCGACCGCGCCAACGCGCCCGACACACGGGCAGCCACACATCGTGCTCCTGCCGAGTGCTCGGCGTCTTCGGGGAAGGCGCCCGGCGTGCAGAGCCGCCCCTGGGCAAATTCCCAAGACAGCTCCGCACACAGGGGGCGCCCGGAGGCCCGCAGGGTGCCCGCCTGGCCGCAGAGGCCGCGAACCTCCCTCCACCACCCTCGGGCTGCCGAAAAGGACCAGCAGCCTGTAAATCCGGCGTCCCCACTCGCGGCGGAGGACGCCGTGGGGCAAGCGGGCTGCGGGCTCCCGGCTCCTTCCCGCAGAGGCGGCGATAGCAAACCCCCCCCCCCCTCCCGGGGCCCGGCCTGAGGAACTTTCCCTGCCTGGAGCCGAGCCCGGGAGCCCCGCAGCCGAGCGGCGCGGGGGAGGGGGGGTGCGGAGGGCGGCGATCGGGCTGGAGGGAGACACAAGGGGCGCGCGGTTCGGAGGCCGGGGGAGAGAAAGGCAGAGCGCGGGGAGCGCAGGAACAGCGACCACACAAGTCTGGGGATGTCCTGTGGATCGGTGAGCAATCACGCTGGAGGCGGCTGCTAGTCAGCCATGGGGAGGCTTGGGGGATAGAGATTTAGGGGGCCCGTTGGAGAGGTGGGGGCGAATGGGCAGCCCTGGGACGGGAGGACCTGCAAGTTACCGGGACAACAACGAGTTTGGGAGGGTCCCGAAGGTTGGGGGGTGCCTTCCATCCATGCCCTTTTCCCATATTCTCGAGCCCCCGGGCCCCCCATTCTCACTCCACTCCGCACCCCGAGCCAAGCCGGGGAGAAAAGGTGTGGGTGCAGTCATCCCTAAAAGGCTCCAATTCCAACCCAGATGGGCAAGGGAGAAGGGGATCACCGATCCCCTCTGCCCCTTCCATCTCAGCCCTGAGTTTCCTCTCCACACTCCCTCCGATTCGGATTTAGGAAGTGGGGGGAAGGTTGTCATGGAAACGTTTCCCCCTTCCACGGCTATGGCTACTGGGGTGCCTTAGGAGATTTAGAGGGCCAACCGGCTGGTGCCCACACCTACCTGTGGGGATCAGTGCCGCGGCGGAGAGGAGCAACAGCAGAAGCCGGAGTCGGAGCCCGGGAGGCGCCGCCGCCGCCGCCACCGCCGCCACCGCCGCCGCACACTGGGATCCGCTCGGCAGCACAGCACTCGCCATGTCGGGCACCTGCCTCAGACTGGCGGTGGTGGCTTCCTCGGGAGCCCGACCGGACAACTAATGAGATGCTAATGACATGTACTGGGGGCGGAGTCCTGACCGACCAATCACAGCGCCGCTAGCCGAACCCGGCTCTCGTAGGACTCGCCCCCTCCCCCACCCCGCCCCCTGGCGCTGGCGTTCGGCGGCGCGCCCGCGCCATCTAGGGGCGGGGCCAATGGGAGGGGCGTATGCAAATATGTTTATGTTAAAATTCGTTTTCGCTTCCCCGGGATCAAGGAAAAAGTGTTCTCCTGGGCGCCTGGCTTTGGGGGGCTCGGGCTCCAGGGGGCGGGTCTCGCTTCCCGTACACCTATATTAAGAATGTATATAGCAATCGCTATAGCCGACCGACGACTGGAGAATCTCCCTAGGAGGAGGCTCCCCTGCCCGATACACCGAGTGCATCTGGCCTGGAAACCACACATTGCAAATTTCCGTCACTCACCTTGCACCGAAGGAATAGATCTTCGGGAAACGGGGGCTGTTAGGGAGTGGAGAGTGAGAATGCAGGTCCCCGGATTGACAAAACAATCTGGGAGAAGTGCATGCGTGCTTTGCACGTCCGGCGGAGCGGGTGAGCCCGCTCAACAACCTAGCGGTAGACTTGGGCATAGTTGGGAGAAAGGAGCCCAAGTCGGGCTCTGGGATTTTCGAGTCGGTATCTTTGCGGTCGATTTTCCGGAAAGGTAGATAGGGGAGCGTCGGCTCCGGCTCCCCAGCTCGCCGAAGGTCTCCTTCCTGCCTTTTATATATATGCGTATTTAATACATTTGACATATGTAATAATATATATTTACGATTGCACACATCCAACAAAAAATCTTTTCTATCAAGGCTTCGGGGTGGTGGGCGGAGGCGGGGGGTGTGTGTGAAGATAGGGTCTGCCATCTTCCTCCTTTGGGGTTCACCCATTCCCTCCTTCTCTACGCCCCCAGTCCCTCCTAAGGCGGCTGGGGACCAACAGGTGCTCTGAGCTTCCCGTGTCTCTGGGAGAGGTTCTCCTGGCTGAAACGATTTGCTTCTCCGGACTGTCTCTCTCTCTCTGAAATTGCCTCTGCTTTCTTTTCAACCAGGCAGCCGGCTCTCTTGTTTGTATGCTTTTTAATTACTTATTTTCTTCCCCTCTAGAAGATCGTATGCGCTCTGACCCTCTGTTGCTCAAGCATCAAATTGAAGGACGAGCCATATTAAGTGTAAAGGTTTATAATAATTTAAGTATTCATAGAATGCAGAACAATAAGATGTAGGAAATACAATTTGCATAATAAATATCAATATCACAACAGCTAAAACAAACCATGACAAATTATCTGTGGCTAAAAGACCAAGAGATTACTGAATGTAAATTGCTAAGTCTGAGCTGTAGTCTAGAGGGACTGCACCAAATGACTTGCCTGGCCTTCTGTCCTCATCTAACTAAAATAATAATAATAATAATAATAAATAAATAAATAAATAAATAAATAAATAAATAAATAAATAAATAAATATTACATATCAAAAAGGAAGTCAAGATCTGCCAACCCACCAAATGAGTTACACTTAAAAACAGCCTCCTATTATCCATTATGCATAAACTAATTTCAAGACTGACCTGTCTTCACAGCCCTGGATATTCTGCTCTGTAATTACAAGCCCTGATGCATGAACTACAGGCAGTGCTCCAGAAGTCAGGAAAGTTCCAGCGGACACACAGTGCTACATGAGACAGGAAACCGTCACCACGTGGTGACCAGAAAAATGTGCAATCTGCAAAGTCCTACCTAGCCTTATCACCTCCGGAAGTACAGCTACCTGGACAGACCAAAGGCAGAGTGGAGAGTCCCGCCAAAATCAGGATAAAAAATTTGAGGTTATATGCATGTTGAAAGTGATGTGTAGGGATGCCTGGGTGGCTCAGCTGGTTAAGTGTCTGCCTTCAGCTCAGGTCATGATCCCAGGGTCCTGGGGTCGAGTCCCTCATCAAGCTCCTTGCTCAGTGGGGAGCCTGCTTCTCCCTCTGCCCCTTCCACCTGCTTGTGCTCTCTCTCTCTCTGACAAATAAATAAATAAAATCTTTTAAAAAAATGATGATGTGTAAACAATAAAGTAATGTCCTATATGCCAGGAACTCAAGCACCCTAGCTCAGTGTAATATTTATATTTGCTATTATTATTACTAGTCTTGTAATTATTGAGTTTTTATTAAGTATTTTGCATACATAATCTCATTTAATACTTGGAACAATCCCCATGGCACATACTATTATTTCCCATTTTATATTTTTTAAACATAGTTAGAAAAATTAAGCAATTGCCCAGAGGTCAAAGTTTCTAAGGTGCAGACAGGGCTTGTGCAATTAACCACTATGCTGTCCTGTGCCTCAACAAATATTTGTTAAGTGAATGAATAAACATCACATTATAATGCATGAATAATAAGCATAGGATAGCTCCATTTTTAACATAAGGCAAAAATATGCCAGCAACTGAGAAACATTTTTTTTAAATAACAGGATTGCATTACACTCCTAAGGAAAAGCATTCCTTATGAGGCTGAATCTCTAAGAGAACCTAGTTAGGCCCCAAGCCTCCCACACTAGGAACACAGTATGGGGACATTGGAAGATGTGGAGTGTTTTCATCTCCCTTCTTTCTCTTGGCACATCAAATGAACACCTACTCAACTTTCCAATTGGCAAAGAACAATATGGGACATTTTTGTAGGAAATGCTAATGCTGTGTGACTTACCTCACCAGAGGAATGCAAATAGCTTTAGAAATTCTACCCAAAAACTGCCACCTGTGTCGTAAGCTTCAGGAACCTGCACATCCAACTTCCCCAGTCATGGGACATCTTTAGCCCTGGTCTGCATGGAAAGACCCTGAGCTGAAAATTTAGGATTAAGCTGTTGCTACCCTATACACTAGCCACGCTCCTCTCTGCGCCGCCCCCCCATCTCTTTCACACTGAAGATCTCGCCAAGCGATTTAACATATGGAACATGTGAAGAACGTATCAAATTCCCACAGCCGCTAAGTACAAGTTATGACTACTCTGGTTTTCTCATAGTAAAGCTCGTCATTTTCTGCTTCGTGGACCAGAACTCCTCACCAATGACAAGTTCCAACATTTTTCCCCTTGCTACATGGATTTAACCAATTTTGAAAGCCAGATGGTGTTTTTGCCATTTATAACTGATAATCAATTGTTTTGTGAATTTAATTTTTCAAGAAAGAACAGAAATACTTATCAGAATTACAATCTGGGGACTTCTTGTGTTAAAATAAAATTGCCAGAGCCTAGTGCTTTTCTTTTTTTTCTGGGGAACCTTTAAAGAGCGAGAGGGAGAGAGACCCTATATTGTTTGCCTTCACTCAAACAGTTGAGAAATATGGAAAAACATATAGGAAAAATAAACATTAAGGAGAGATTCATGTTTTGCCAAATACATTAAGAGACAATCAATGAGAACTAGTAACATTTTGCTTTTTAATATACTAATTATTTGAGTATCCATGTATAAAAAGCAATAAAGACAAACTATTAGGGAAAATAAAACAATGTTTAAAGTCAGCATTTGCTCTGCTACTGGATTCTTTGAGTACCCATAGGAAAGTGGTTTAATCAGTTTATGGACTGAATGTTTTTGTGTTCCCCACCCCCACCCCCACCCCCGCCAAATTGATATGCTAAAGCCCTACCCCTTAATGTGATAATATTTGGAGGTAGAGCCTTTAGGAGGTAATGAGGTCTAGAAGAGGTTTGGGGTAGATAGATACCATCCTGATGTCCTTGGAATCAATACCAGAGCTCTCTCTCCACATGCAGACACTGAGGAAAGGCCATGTGAGCACACAGCAAGAAGGCAGCTACCTGCACACCAGGAAGGGGGCTCTCACCAGAACCTAAAACTCCTGGCACGTTGACCTCAGACTTCCAGCCTCCAGAACCGTGAGAAAATAAATGCCCATTATTCAAGCCGCCCAGTCTCTGGTATTTTGTTATAGCAGCCGGAGCAGACTAAAATAATCCCTAAGCCTCTGCTTCCATTGTCAAAGGGTATATTAAAATTATAATAAATGTCAGCTTTTAATAGAAAGTCTTCCATAAATTAAAGTAAGCTAGCAGTATGTTAGAATATTGGACTGGATAGACTCTCGGTCTACCTAGCATGTAGCTCATCTGTACTTAGATTAAGACTAAGCAGCTCATCTTTGGGGGCATCAGTCTATGAATCTTTATGAAATATAAAGCCAGCTAAATCCATACTCCTAAGTGAGTAATTAACCACTTTACCCACAGGTTTATTCTTCTGGAATCACAGAGTTGACAGTAAACTTTTGCATATCGAGACTGGAATACCAGTTCAAAGGAAAGGGAAGTGGGGAAGTACCAATATATAAACTACACAGAAAGTGAGTCAAGGAGCAACACCCGTGCAGATGGAAAGGAAATTTGCCTTGGAGACCAGGTCACAGTTTGTCACGATCAGATATCTAAGAATATATTTGGGTATGTGTGGCTGATCCAGATACGTATCTTTTTTTTATAAGATCTTATTTTAATTTTCAAATGATCTCTACACCCAACGTGGGGCTCAAAACTACAACCCCAAGATCAAGAGTTGCACGCTCTACCAACTGAGCCAGCTAGTCACCCCCAAATCGAATTCAAGGAAAGAAAAAATGTATAGAGCACCCCAATGGGACAGTCATTGTTAAGTCCTGGGAACACAAAGATGAATGAAGAACTACCTACTGGAGCAGGCAACTCATTCAGTTAAGCGTCCAGCTCTTGATTTCAGCTCAGGTCATGATCTCAGGATCCTGGGATTCAGCCCTGCATCAGCTTCCATGCTCACTGCAGAGTCTGCTTGGGATTCTCCCTCTCACTCTCCCTCTGCCTCTCCCCCTGCTCATACACATGCTCTCTCTCTCTTTCTCTAATAAAAAAAAAAAAACCCAGAAACTACCTACTGGCAAGGAACTCAGAGTATAGTAGGGAAGACAGATGTACACCATAATTACTACATGTAATATGTGCTTTTATAATATGTGCACACAGCCCTGTTGTGAGCAGAGAAAGGAGGCACCTAACTATCCCC